TTGAGCATCACATATTGCACACAGGTGTTGATATTCAACACTGTACCCCACAGATATGTACAATCAATTATGTTTCAACAAAAAATAAATAAAATCATTCTTCCTTGACACACTGTAGTCTCATGGTGGGAGTACTATATCCATTCGAATGGTTACTGTTTCTCCAATCCTGGCAGAGAGCCTGGCAGTGAGACATTGAATTTAGGGAATTCAACGATCATTTGTGGTTTGTTAGACAACAGTCATTCCCTACAAAAATATTACAGTATAGCTAAGTGCAAATAGACGGCACAGGCCTAGCAGGTTAGCTCAGCTGGTTTAGAACATGGTGTTGATAAAACCAAGAGCCAGGATTCAGATACCTGTACAGGCCAGCTGCCAAAAAATAAACAAACAAAAAAACCCCACAAATAGAAGGCACACGGAAACAGAATTACAAAGCAAAAATTAAATAAGACTCATATATTAAAAAAAAAAAAAAAGACTCATAAAGTGTCTCCCCACACTGCAACATAAACCAAAACATTGTACTTCTGGAAGTATATTTGAGTATTCTTATTCACCATATATGTGGACAAGATACTGACACTCTTTTTGAAAACAAATGCCTTGCGCTTAAAACTAAAATGTGTTCCTTATTTTTCTCCAGAATAATTTCTAAACAAGGTTAACAAAAGTTGATTCAGAAACTGCCAAATGGTACAAGATCAAGAGAAGTCAAACAATTTAATGTATGGCAACCTTAAAAGTCTATGCTGAAAATGTTCCTCCACATGTGAAAAACTGATACAGAGAAGTTTATTCACCACAGATTAATCATAGATGCTACAACTGGATAGAAAAGTTGCTAAGGGACAAGATATTATGTGTCAAAATATCAACCCACAAATTACTTCCTTATTCAAAATAAAAAGTCAAAAAAAAAAAAAAAAGGAAAAGAAATTAAAAAGAAAAGAAAAGGAAAAAAGACAAAGGAAAAGTCTACTTTTTAAAAAAAACACTACCTTCGGGCCGGCCCATGGCTCACTCAGGAGAGTGCGGTGCTGATAACACCAAGGCCCCGGGTTCGGATCCTATATAGGGATGGCCGGTTTGCTCACTGGCTGAGCGTGGTGCTGACAACACCAAGTCAAGGGTTAAGATCCCCTTACCGGCCATCTTTTTAAAAAATAAATTAATTAATTAAATAAAAAATAAAAAAGAACGGCAAAAGATGAAAGTAAGGAAGGGAGGAATTCTAGGTGTAGAAATCTAAGTTGCTAGAAGAATTAGGAAGCTCCATCCATGGAGTGTATGAGAGAGACATGCATTTGTCTGGAACACAGAGGAAAGGACATGGTGAGCAGCATTCATTTGTCACCCTACAAGGCCTTACACTACTGGATATCTAGTCATGTGTGTAGGTCTTGCCCTCTAATTGGTCTGTGAGTTCCATGAGGCAGGATTGATCATTAATTTTCTTTGTACCTCTAGCATCATGCATAGAGCCATGTTTTGGGAATGCTTAATATAACATGTATAATATCAATAAATATATAATATAATTAAATGGACTTAGAAGTTTCCTTCTCATCCTATGATATCTGAGTTTCTTGAAGGCAAAGACTATCTCTTATTCACCATTGTATCCCACAGAACTTAAAGCCTAATGGACCCATAATAAGTATTTGTCACATTCTGCAGGCATGAGTACTTAGGCAATTATATGAAAAACAATGAATGAAAAAAAAATTGACAATGTCTATGGTCAACTAATCCAAACATATTTATTGAGTGTTTGTTAGGTATGCAGCACTACGCTAGCTGAATCTTTTGAAAAACACTACTGCTAGGATTATTTGCTATTTGGATTTATACCATATAACTGAAGAAGTCACAATTTGTATATTTAAAATGATTAAGCATGAGAAACATTCTTTTTTTAGGGTTGGTCAGGTAAAATTAAATCCTAAATAGCTAAAATAATTTATTATGTCAGTCTCTAGAATCATGATTTCTTTATAGGTATTTATATTTTTAATTTTTTTTAATCTCTAAGAAGAAAGGCCCTAGGAGAGTAATGAAAGATTAGACACTTCTAGAAGCAAAAAAAGGCAAAAAGGAAAAACCAATTATACACTGCTCAAACATGTGCATGTGCTTGTGAATGTGGGTACACAGACACACTCACACACGAAACACAACTCTTAACTCAGAGAAGGCAATGACTGTCCATGAATCACAGCATATATTCTCTTCTAATTTCCATGATTGTGATCTTGCAAGCATTCTGATAATTTTTCAGTGGGAGTGGCAGAAAACAGTCTCTGAAGACATCTGTGATTACACATTGTAAAAATCATCTCTATAATGCAATGTGCATGTAAGAGAGATGAAGCAGCTTGTTGCATTAACAAAGGCTTATTTCATACACAATTAACCTGCTTGCCAAACTGCAATGCTACTAATCCCAACCCAAGTGTGCATGGTACCATGAGAATCTACTACAATGGGTATTAGATATTCAAATTAACAGTACGTTGAAGATTTTTCAAAAGAGAGATGTGGGGAAAAACACACTTAGTCCAACATTCCTGGTAGTGGTAANGCTGACAACACCAAGTCAAGGGTTAAGATCCCCTTACCGGCCATCTTTTTAAAAAATAAATTAATTAATTAAATAAAAAATAAAAAAGAACACTACCTTCAACAAGTGTTAAACTTAGTACCACTAACAGAAGGACAACATAAATGTCTTCCTGATAAAATGCAATTGGAAGTACACAACACCACCCACAAAATATTTTGCAAACGATCTTTTGAAGCCTCGACTAGGTAACAGGAAACTATGGCTCACAGATATGTTTTTGTAAATATGGTTTCATCCGAACAAAGCCATGCCCATCTGTTTAGTACACTATGTGACTGGTTGCCAGAGCTGATTAATTCCAGACCTCATGGCCCACTAAGCAAAGTACTTTCTATCTGTCCCTCTTCAGATAAAACATTCATCAACCTCTGCTCTGAACATAATTAGCAGTTTAAAGGAAACACAGACAATGGAGGAATAATTTAAACACACCGTGAATATATAATCAAAATAGTAGAATGCTGAGGGCTGACTGGTTAGCTCAATTGGTTAGAGTTTGGTGCTGGTAACACCAAAGTCAACCATTTGGAAACCCACACCGGCCAGATGCCAAAACAAAACCAAAAAAATTAAAAAATAAAATAATAGTAGAATGTTGGAGTTTCTAAGAGAATGTGTAGCTCTGCAAAAAATCAATAAAGAAACAGCGAGTATGCTTGGTTCAGAGACTGAAACAGGTAAACAAATGTAATACAGAAACCTTGAATGAATCTTAGATCCAAACTCCCCCAAAAGCCTATTTTAAAACAATGTGGAGAATTTTCTTTTCTAAGAGAGAAGATATCACATTACTTTACTGTTTCTCATTTTCTTGGTTGAAATAATAGTATTTTGCATTTAGTAGAACAATATCTTTACCTTTAGAAAATGCATTAACAAGAATTTAAAGGTCAAGTCTCATATCTACTATTTATTTTTAATTTATTTACTATCAAATAATCCACCATAAAATGTATTTGTCTATCTGGAGAGAGAGTAAACATGCAAAGTGGTAAAACTGGGGG